CCTACTGTCTGAAGGTGAAGGAGATGGACGATGAGGAGTACACCTTCAACGCCCTGCAGGAACCCCTCTATCGAGTGGAGACGGGCAACTACGAGTATCGTCTGATTCTACGCTGTCGTCAGGACGCTCGCACGCGTTTTGCCAAACTGCGCAATGATGTCCTCGTCAAGTTGGAATTGTTGGACAATAAACATGGTACGTTGTTGCCCCTCCCCCTCGCCGCTGCCCCTTCTTCTTCCTCGATGCATCCTTGAGTACGGAGAACCTGTTTCTTTACTGAGAAGGTGCTGTGAGTAGGTATAGGGATGATAAGTGATGTATTTCACAACATAGTCCGAAGGCATTTCGGTCACGCCGGAAGGGTGGTTTTTGAATGCACGTCTATTCGGTCGCCTGTGGAAATTATACCCTCTAAAAATATATCCTCAGCTGGGCAGGTAGTATTGCCGACAAAGACAAGGGAGACTGGAATGGTCGTTTCTGGCTTATTAGCCATCATCAGTAATGCCCAATCCCAAGTGTTACCCCACCCGAAGTGAATCAGTTCTGGTCCATCATTTATTAAGGAATGAAGGTAAAAGTTACATTTAGAGTCCGCTACAGCACGCCAAAACCCTCATCCTTCTGTAATATGGGGCATACAGGGAGAGAAAGAATAATTTAAAAAAAAGCAGAGCTTATAAAAGTAGAAAGTAGTAGGAATACTTATTTAACCAACCAAAAAGTTGTGCGCGATAATTGAAACGGAAAATACGACCAATAAGAAACAAAAGGGCCCCATAGAGCCCAATTGGGTACAATCGTCGACTCTATTAACTTTCTATAAACTCTATATCATTCGTGCAAACTGGAAAACGCGCATCCCAATAAATTTTTAATTGGAGAAACAGATGTTCCTTTGCATATAAAAGTAGCTTTACTCTGAATTGTCGAGTCTGGTTCCCCAGCTCGTCTTCGGACTAACAAGAAATTTGCAGTGAAAAAACTAAAATTCTAAAAGGGCGAAAAAATCAATAGTTCTATGGTGCGAGACCTGGTTGGTAGTTGTGGCCTAAGTCAGCCTGCGTTGTGTAGTCTTCGTCTGTTCCGCCGTTCTTTCACTTTTTTATAGATACCATCTAACTCTATGTGGTGGTTGATGAATGAATCTTCGGAGTGCGTGGCCTGCATTTTTGGAGGGGCAAACTCCGATGATTCTAGTTTTGTCCCATGCAAAGGTGTGTCCAGTGTCAAGGCAATGCATAGCCTATTCGGATGAATGATCACGTCTCTTCCTGGCCAATTGGTGCTCGTCGATGCATGTGGAGACAGATCTTCCTGTTTGGCCACAAGCTTCGTATGGGATTTTGTAGATAACTTCTTTCGTATAGAGGTAGCCAGCCCTATCCTTAGGGTGTACAAACTCTGTGTCTATGTTGGCTTTTTTCCCATTTTTTAAACTCACAATAGATTCTGAGGCAAAAAGCAACTGCATGCCGACAAAAAGGGGAACCAAAACAAACTAAACTACCGAAAA